ACTTGATCGCTGAATGTGACAAGGGTGACGCCATGTTTGTTTATAAACAGTGAAAGTAGTCCCTACTTGACCTTTGATATAAAATTTGCATCTCTATCCACATATATGACCCCAACTGATATTGTTTTTATCCGTTGGCTTTATCGTGCTGGGATACCCACCCATTATATGATAAATTAAATTATCCGTCAATATGAGACAGCTGTACCAAATGGCTATGCTTATGGTTAAAATTATTTAAAATATGTGCAACTAAAATAACTTGATATTGGTATATACTATTCCTGTTATGATAGTTTCAGAACAAAATTCTTCCAATCATTGCATAGTAATTCTTTGAAATTATATTATTGGCATTTCTTAGCTGAATCACACATGGCTTATACCTAAGTCAAATACACAAGTAAGTTGAATAAAGAAGAATACAATTACGCTATCATAATACAATGCTAGCTAAAACCTATGTACAACAACAATGCTTAAAATACAAAGTAACCTATCCTTTCAAGATAAATAATTAAATGAACTTTCTCTCAGTGGAGAGAAGGTGCTGTCACATGATGTACAGAGAAATAGGCTGACTGGCCAGCAGTACTTGTGACCAGGGTATTCACATGATTGAAGAGATCCTGCAGAACAAGAGAACAATAACAACTTAATCACGGGCCAAGACTGTGACCGACCCAGTGACAATAGTTATGACCCAATCTTTTTTACTGAAGCCAGCTTACCTTAAAATTAGTAGATTTGTGAGAGTGCTGAAGTTAAGACAAGTATTTAAGGAAATAAATGTTAAATTATTTAGGTTTAGATTATTAGTTTAATTTATCTTAGCATAAAATAATGATGCTTTAAAATCCAACAACAGGCTGCGAACATACTGCTTTACAAATATGACACACATGCTAAGCTGGAGGAACCATCACTGAGAATAGGGACAGACTAGGCAGAGACAGTACTCCAGCTATGTATGGCTACTTGATTGAGTAGAGTAGAATTCTGAGTGATTCATTGATGTCTCGTCAGAAGTATCAGAATTACAGATTAAATCTACTTCTGGGACAGAACACCCATGACATGGCCCACCTGATAGGATATTGTCTAATTAAGTCAACAGCAGAATGACAATGTTGATATTGCAGGAAGTTCATTCATGAGTTATTTTGAATCTAATTTCATTTGAGCACAACATGGCAACATGTTTGATATGCCTCTCTGCTCTAATGAGTTTTTCTTTTGAGTAGACAGACTGATCATCGGACAAAATTGTTTAGATGAAAGTATAACCTTGTGAAGAAGAAGAATAGGAACTTGAGCTGCTGTTGTGTTTAGAGCAAAGGCACATATACTCAAGATATTATACATAAAAGAAAACATGCAGGAAGTTTGAAGCTTTGATTCTCCATCCCTGCACAGATGAGCTAACAGCCACATGGTTCATGTTGAAGACATTAGACTTTAGGGAACAAAGAAACCTTAGTCCTGCACAGATGAGCCAACAGCCACATGGTTCATGTTGAAGAACGGTAGACTTTAGGGAACAAAGAAACCTTAGTCCTGCACAGATGAGCCAACAGCCACGTGGTTCATGTTGAAGAACGGTAGACTTTATGGAACAAAGAAACCTTAGTCCTGCACAGATGAGCCAACAGCAGGGGTCCGGAAACCGTCATATGTGCCGGACATGTCCGATTTGGAATCTCAAATGTCCGGTTTAAAATATTGCTTACCGGACATTTAAATTTTTCTGTCTGGACATTTTCTTAAATTTTGACGGGACATGATCAACAGTAAGGACTGAGCAGTTTCTGTCTGCAGTTGTAACACAATGAAGATTATCTACACTGACAAGCTTTGTTTGTTTGATTGCTGTAAATACATCGTACCTACATGATAGTCCAATCGGTCAATCACTGTAATAGGCAATAAACTGAGTTGACACTGATTAATCGAGGATAAATTACTGAGAACATCTTGTTAATTTGAGTAAAATGTGTTTACAACTGTACATAAATACCGTGCATCATCGATATACCTCATTATCCTCACAATGCTACGATACGCAACCTCAGACAAGTAGCGAAAGCGTGACGACAGCCAGTCGACCGATGCAGATCAGTCGAGCGGATCTGCAAAACCCTCAAAGTCTGGACGATCATTTGTAAGTCGTGGCTAACGACTATCACTATGTTGACATTCAATGAGGATTTGCAGATTTGATTGTTTTCAGTAGCTAGTCATATATTGAATCTTGATTGACCGCCATTTTGCTTTCTGTGACGATCGATATCATTTTTTTATGGTCAATAATTAAGTACAGATGAAAAAAGTATTTAAATAACTATTCCTATCAACGATATGTTAGTATTTGTGATTTTATTATCTGTCTTGTTTTTAAATAATCTTTAGTTTAAAAAAACCCTTTTCCCGTGAGGTCACGTGATAACCAAATATGGGATAATAGTCTCGATCCAAATGTTACAACGCGTACACTTGAGCAGACTCATGAATATAACTCAAGAATATTAATTAGACCATTCACTACGTTAACAGATCGTTATTATAACAGAAACAAACATGTTTTCCATGTATATCTTAAATTGATTTTATTTGTTATAAATAGTCCGGTGAATTAACAATTTTTAATTGAAACAATTCATAATTCATCATATTATCAATACGTAACAACTTGTATTGTGTGTGAAAAGTTGTCCTAAAATACGCTATTTAAAGGGGGCGTGGCCTAAATGCAAATGTCTGATTGGGATTTTATATTTTCCGGACCCCTGGCCAACAGCCACATGGTTCATGTTGAAGAATGGTAGACTTTAGGGAACAAAGTAACCTTACTCCTGCACAGAGGAGCCAACAGCCACATGGTTCATGTTGAAGAATGGTAGACTTTAGGGAACAAAGTAACCTTACTCCTGCACAGAGGAGCCAACAGCCACATGGTTCATGTTGAAGAATGGTAGACTTTAGGGAGAACAGTAGACTTTATGGAACAAAGTAACCTTACTCCTGCACAGAGGAGCCAACAGCCACATGGTTCATGTTGAAGAACAGTAGACTTTATGGAACAAAGTAACCTTACTCCTGCACAGAGGAGCCAACAGCCACATGGTTCATGTTGAAGAACGGTAGACTTTAGGGCAGGGGTCCGGAAAATTTAAAATCCCAATCGGACATTTGCATTTAGGTCACGCCCCCTTCAAATAGCGTATTTTAGTAAGACTTTTCACACACATTACAAGTTGTTACGTATTCATAATATGATGAATTATGAATTGTTTCAATTTAAATTGTTTAATTCACCGGACAATTAATAACAAATAATATCATTTTAGATTTACATGGAAAACATACGTTTGTTTCTGTTATAATAATGATCTGTTAACGTAGTGAATGGTCTAATTAATATTCATGAGTTATATTCATGAGTCTGCTCAAGTGTACGCGTTGTAACATTTGGATCGAGACTATTATCCCATATTTGGTTATCACGTGACCTCACGGAAATGGGTTTTTTTAAACTAAAGATTTTTTTAAAAACAAGACAGATAATTTAATCACAAATACTAAAATATCATTGATAGCAATAGTTATCTGAATACTTTTTTCATCTGTACTTATTTATTGACCATAAAAAAATTGGATATCGATCGTTCGAGAAAGCAAAATGGCGGTCAATCAAGATTCAATATACGACTAGCTACTGAAAACAATAAAATCTGCAAATCCTCATTGTATGTCAACCAAGTGAAAGTCGTTAGCCACGACTTACAAAATGATTGTCCAGACTTTGAGGGTTTGGCAGATCCGCTCGACTGATCTGCATCGGTCGACTGGCTGTCGTCACGCTTTAGCTTCTTGTCTGAGGTTACATATCGTAGCATTGTGAGGATAATGAGGTACATCGATGATGCAAGGTATTAATGTACAGTTGTAAACACCTTTCAGTCAAATTAACAAGATGTTCTCAGTAATTAATCCTCGATTAATCAGTGTCAACTCAGTTTATTGCCTATTACAGTGATTGACCGATTGGACTATCATGTAGGTACGATGTATTTACAGCAATCAAAACAAACAAAGCTTGTCAGTGTAGTTAATCTTCATTGTGTTGCAACTGCAGACAGAAACTGCTCAGTCCTAACTGTTGATCATGTCCGGTCAAAATTTAAGAATGTCCGGACAATACTTTTTAAAATGTCCGGTAAGCAATATTTTAAACCGGACATTTGAGATTCCCAATCGGACATGTCCGGCGCATATGACGGTTTCCGGACCCCTGCTTTAGGGAGAACGGTAGACTTTATGGAACAAAGTAACCTTACTCCTGCACAGAGGAGCCAACAGCCACATGGTTCATGTTGAAGAACGGTAGACTTTAGGGAGAACAGTAGACTTTATGGAACAAAGTAACCTTACTCCTGCACAGAGGAGCCAACAGCCACATGGTTCATGTTGAAGAATGGTAGACTTTAGGGAGAACAGTAGACTTTATGGAACAAAGAAACCTTACTCCTGCACAGAGGAGCCAACAGCCACATGGTTCATGTTGAAGAATGGTAGACTTTAGGGAACAAAGTAACCTTAGTCCTGCACAGAGGAGCCAACAGCCTCATGGTTCATGTTGAAGAACGGTAGACTTTAGGGAACAAATATGTGCTCAGTATCCTCATCATGGGTCACTAAGGATATTTATCAATGTTTCAAGTACTGGAGTATTATCCTCCATTCCCCAACAGTGCTATCACTTGCCCAGCATGTATCCAGGGATATGAGGTAGGGAACTGGATGGTCAAGTAGATAAACTTTCAAGGATGTTGTTATTTTTTCTGAAAAGATAAAATCTGGGGGTAATTCACATGTGTGCATTTCAAAGGCAACAGAAGAAACCATGCATACAACTATTTCTTCAGAAACATGCTTGAGTGCAAAGAGTATGTAGAATGGCAGTTTTGCTAACAGCTCCATGTTTGGTTTTCATGTTACAGGACGCACACCCCCATCTCGAGATGGCAAGAATAACCGTCCAAGTAATCCTCTGGATCGTGTCTATCGAGAGATAGCAATCTTAAAGAAGCTTGATCACCCTAATGTTGTCAAGTTGGTGGAAGTGCTGGATGACCCAGAAGAAGACAACTTGTACATGGGTCAGTAACTATTAGGCTTGTTGATGTACACTTCATGCATACTCTATTTACACTGTACAATTACACTGTACTGTCATATATCTGTTTAACCTTGTCTCTGAAGAATTGTACCATTTAAGTTAGGATTATGACATTATTAATTCTCTTTTGCAGTTTTTGAACTTGTGGAAAAAGGGTAAGTACATATCTAATTGTTTTTGCCAGTTTCTAAAATATTTATTTCATAGCGATGAACATAAGTGACATGAAAATAGAACTCTCAATATGACTGATCTTGTGTCAAAAAGTATAAGTTTCAACCAATAGATGCCAGGCGTAGTGTGAGTTTATTAGCACACCAGACCTAACTACCATTTCAAGAAGCATTAAACTGTCACTCACCCACTCATTAGGTTTCTGATTTCACCAACCCCAAATGGAAATGAAATAATCGACCCAGAAGGGCTTATGAATGGCTTACTAAGTTTGCAAGAGGCATCAGACTTTTTCTGTTTAAGTTGTCATCCATTAAACAGTAAGCAAGCCAGAAACCATGACCGTAGGTTCGAGTCCCAGATTCGCCCTGATTATGTTTCATGGTCATCTAAGACCTGCATCACTTCAAGCTTTCCTCCCACATTAAGCTGAAAACTATGATATAACTTTTTTAGCAAATCATCTAAAAGAGGTAGAACCAGCTTTATGTAAATATTTACCCTGTCATAAATGTTAGTGGTAGGACAGTCGACTATGGTTGGATGAGAGGGATGAATTATTTAGAAAGCAGTCCCATGGCAGTAATGTTGTTCACATCTGCTCTATTTCAGGGAGGTGATGGCAGTACCAACGTCTAGTCCTCTCTCCGAAAACCAGGCTTGGTGCTACTTTCGTGATGTAATACTTGGCATTGAATATCGTAAGTATCAAGACAGATACAGAGTTCAAGTATAACGGCGATAAAGCCAACAGAAACAGGTCTGAATTCATACATTGATGGCAGCTACTCAGGTTTGCAGTATCAAATGAAATGATGGGGATCAGGCTTAGAACAGGTCCCTTGCACTACAAACTGACATTCATTTAACAATGGTGAGGCTGGGAACTACCTGCTGGTGCGGCTGTCCTAACTAACCCCTCTTGAGTCTGTGGCCGGGGATTGTGGACTGTGTCTGTGCTACCTAACCCCTCTTGAGTCTGTGGCCGGGGATTGTGGACTGTGTCTCTGTGCTACCTAACCCCTCTTGAGTCTGTGACCGGTGATTATGGACTGTCTCTGTGCTACCTAACCCCTCTTGAGTCTGTGGCCGGGGATTGTGGACTGTGTCTCTGTGCTACCTAACCCCTCTTGAGTCTGTGACCGGTGATTATGGACTGTCTCTGTGCTACCTAACCCCTCTTGAGTCTGTGGCCGGGGATTGTGGACTGTGTCTCTGTGCTACCTAACCCCTCTTGAGTCTGTGACCGGTGATTGTGGACTGTGTCTCTGTGCTCCCTAACCCCTCTTGAGTCTTTGGCCAGTGATTGTGGACTGTGTCTCTGTGCTACCTAACCCCTCTTGAGTCTGTGGCCGGTGATTGTGGACTGTCTCTTTGCTACATATCCTCTCTTGAGTCTTTGGCCTGTGATTGTGGACTGTGTCTCTGTGCTACCTAACCCCTCTTGAGTCTTTGGCCGGTGATTGTGGACTGTGTCTCTGTGCTACCTAACCTCTCTTGAGTCTGTGGCTGGTGATTGTGGACTGTCTCTGTGCCACCTAACCTCTCTTGAGTCTGTGACCGGTGATTGTGGACTGTGTCTGTGCTACCTAACCTCTCTTGAGTCTTTGGCTGGTGATTGTGGACTGTCTCTGTGCCACCTAACCTCTCTTGAGTCTGTGACCGGTGATTGTGGACTGTGTCTGTGCTACCTGACCCATCTTGAGTCTGTGGCCGGTGATTGTGGACTGTCTCTGTGCTACCTAACCTCTCTTGAGTCTGTGGCCGGTGATTGTGGACTGTGTCTGTGCTACCTGACCCATCTTGAGTCTGTGGCCGGTGATTGTGGACTGTCTCTGTGCCACCTAACCTCTCTTGAGTCTGTGGCTGGTGATTGTGGACTGTCTCTGTGCCACCTAACCTCTCTTGAGTCTGTGGCCGGTGATTGTTGACTGTCTCTGTGCTACCTAACCTCTCTTGAGTCTGTGGCCGGTGATTGTGGACTGTGTCTGTGCTCCCTAACCCTCTTTGAGTCTGTGACCGGTGATTGTGGACTCTGTTGTGTCTCTGTGCTCCCTAACCCTCTTGAGTCTGTGGCCGGTGCTTGTGGACTGTCTCTGTGCCACCTAACCTCTTTTGAGTCTGTGGCCAGTGATTGTGGACTGTCTCTGTGCTACCTAACCTCTCTTGAGTCTATGGCCGGGGATTGTGGACTGTCTCTGTGCTACCTAACCCCTCTTGAGTCTGTGACCGGTGATTGTGGACTGTGTCCGTGCTACCTGACCCATCTTGAGTCTGTGGCCGGTGATTGTGGACTCTGTCTGTGCTCCCTAACCCCTCTTGAGTCTGTGGCCTGTGATTGTCGACTGTGCCTCTGTGCTACCTAACCCCTCTTGAGTCTGTGGCCGGTGAATGTCGACTGGGTCTCTGTGCTACCTAACCCCTCTTGAGTCTGTAGCCCGTGATTGTGGACTGTGTCTGTGCTACCTGACCCATCTTGAGTCTGTGGCCGGTGATTATGGACTGTCTCTGTGCTCCCTAACCCCTCTTGAGTCTTTGGCTGGTGATTGTGGACTGTGTTTCTGTGCTACCTAACCCCTCTTGAGTCTGTGGCCGGTGATTGTTGACTGTCTCTGTGCTACCTAACCTCTCTTGAGTCTGTGGCCGATGATTGTGGACTGTCTCTGTGCTACCTAACCCCTCTTGAGTCTGTGACCGGTGATTGTGGACTGTCTCTGTGCTACCTAACCTCTCTTGAGTCTGTGGCCGGTGATTGTGGACAGTCTCTGTGCTACTTATCCTCTCTTGAGTCTGTGGCCGGTGATTGTGGACTGTGTCTGTGCTACCTGACCCATCTTGAGTCTGTGGCCGGTGATTGTGGACTGTCTCTGTGCTACCTAACCTCTCTTGAGTCTGTGGCCGGTGATTGTGGACTGTCTCTGTGCTACCTAACCCCTCTTGAGTCTGTGACCGGTGATTGTGGACTGTCTCTGTGCTACCTAACCTCTCTTGAGTCTGTGGCCGGTGATTGTGGACTGTCTCTGTGCTACTTATCCTCTCTTGAGTCTGTGGCCGGTGATTGTGGACTGTCTCTGTGCTACTTATCCTCTCTTGAGTCTGTGGCCGGTGATTATGGACTGTGTCTGTGCTACCTGACCCCTCTTGAGTCTGTGGCCGGTGATTGTGGACTGTCTCTTTGCTACCTAACCCCTCTTGAGTCTTTGGCCGGTGATTGTGGACTGTGTCTGTGCTACCTGACCCCTCTTGAGTCTGTGACCGGTGATTGTGGACTGTCACTGTGCTACCTAACCTCTCTTGAGTCTGTGGCAGGTGATTGTGGACTCTGTCTGTGCTACCTAACACCTCTTGAGTCTGTGGCCGGTGATTGTGGACTGTCTCTGTGCTACCTGACCCATCTTGAGTCTGTGGCCGGTGATTGTGGACTGTGTCTCTGTGCTCCCTAACCCCTCTTGAGTCTTTGGCCGGTGATTGTCGACTGTGTCTCTGTGCTACCTAACCCCTCTTGAGTCTGTGGCAGGTGATTGTGGACTCTGTCTGTGCTACCTAACACCTCTTGAGTCTGTGGCCGGTGATTGTGGACTGTCTCTGTGCTACCTGACCCATCTTGAGTCTGTGGCCGGTGATTGTGGACTGTGTCTCTGTGCTCCCTAACCCCTCTTGAGTCTTTGGCCGGTGATTGTCGACTGTGTCTCTGTGCTACCTAACCCCTCTTGAGTCTGTGGCCGGTGATTGTGGACTGTCTCTGTGCTACTTATCCTCTCTTGAGTCTTTGGCCGGTGATTATGGACTGTGTCTGTGCTACCTGACCCATCTTGAGTCTGTGGCCGGTGATTATGGACTGTCTCTGTGCTCCCTAACCCATCTTGAGTCTGAGGCCGGTGATTGTGGACTGTGTCTGTGCTACCTGACCTCTCTTGAGTCTGTGGCCGGTGATTGTGGACTGTCTCTGTGCTACCTAACCTCTCTTGAGTCTGTGGCCGGTGATTGTGGACTGTCTCTGTGCTACCTAACCTCTCTTTAGTCTTTGGCCGGTGATTGTGGACTGTCTCTGTGCTACCTAACCCCTCTTGAGTCTGTGACCGGTGATTGTGGACTGTCACTGTGCTACCTAACCTCTCTTGAGTCTGTGGCCGGTGATTGTGGACTGTCTCTGTGCTACCTAACCCCTCTTGAGTCTGTGGCCAGTGATTGTGGACTGTCTCTGTGCTACTTATCCTCTCTTGAGTCTGTGGCCGGTGATTGTGGACTGTCTCTGTGCTACCTACCGTATATGACCGCGGATAAGCCGACCCCGTAGATAAGCCGAGGTGTTAATTTGACCATTGAAATACGAAAGAAAATGATATGACCCGCAGATAAGCCGAATCAGGAATTGAAAGACAAAAAACACTGCGAAGTCGGACTGCAAGACATGTGCCGGTACTCGCAGATATTAAAAAATATAAGATGAAAAACGTTGTAATTATATTGAAAAAGTCATTATTATTTCTAATAAAGATTTAACAAACCAGTCATCCACTTTCATAATGTGGGAAGCTGTTTCTCGTGGGTTTTTTTAATCTCATAATGATCGTTATAGTTGCCATCAACAACCAAGCGCCATTTTGTGAATCGGTGTATATAGAATTCTGAACCCGTGAGAAAATATATCAGCTGGAGCGAAAACTCGCAGTTTGAATTCAGCATCGTAAGCATGGCGTTTTCGTTTAAAACTCATGATGAAAATGTCAGTCAGTAAAAATATACCAACTTTTATAACCCCCTTTACACCACTATTGTATGTTAATCCAATTGAATTAAATAAACTATCATACTATGAACACATTGAATGACCATCACTTACTCACAGGCTTTTCCAGTTTATTAAACTAATCTCTCGAAAACAAAGGAATTAAGCCCCTACTCCCAACACGATCGCTAAGCACCCACAACTTGAAAATGTTTGTGTAAACAACATGACAATAGCAATCGGCCCGTTATTATCAATGCTGATTTCCTTGTGTACCGTGTTGCTTTAAACAACAGGAAGCAATCACAGTGGTCACCGTTTGTGACGTCACAGGAAACAGCTGATCACATGTTTTTGCAAATGGTGAACGGAATAACTCGCCAATACAGTTGTTTATTTGCCCCTTTCAATAAAGGTAGACACTTGTTCACTATCAATTTATGAACTTTGCAAAACGTACGTAATAGCTATTGGCGATTTTATCTGGGGATTATATATTATAGCTGTGAATTACGTATATTGTTACATGTAAAGATTGTGGAGTTGACGAAGAACGATAAACTTTGAACATTCAATTGAAAACTTATTATCGGAAGTAGTAACATGCATAACATTTTTTTAATAATGACAACATTGGTGTATAATAATAACTTTATTGATAATTTATAACAATAATGGCTCTAGTTGTGGCAACTTCCAAACTTTCGGGAAGTTGTAATCTATCGGACCGTCATTCAGGCGATGTTTCTGACAGATCACGATCTGAAAAATACTATCATGAAAGTGTATCCCGTGGATAAGCCAACCCCTTTCTACAGAATCTTTTTTCTGGTCCTCAAAATTCGGCTTATACGCGGTCATATACGGTAACCCCTCTTGAGTCTGTGACCGGTGATTGTGGACTGTCTCTGTGCTACTTATCCTCTCTTGAGTCTGTGGCCGGTGATTGTGGACTGTCTCTGTGCTACTTATCCTCTCTTGAGTCTGTGACCGGTGATTGTGGACTGTGTCTGTGCTACCTGACCCATCTTGAGTCTGTGGCCGGTGATTATGGACTGTGACTGTGCTACCTGACCCCTCTTGAGTCTGTGGCCGGTGATTGTGGACTGTCTCTTTGCTACCTAACCCCTCTTGAGTCTGTGACCGGTGATTGTCGACTGTGTCTCTGTGCTACCTAACCCCTCTTGAGTCTGTGGCCGGTGATTGTGGACTGTCTCTGTGCTACCTAACCTCTCTTGAGTCTGTGGCCAGTGATTGTGGACTGTCTCTTTGCTACCTAACCTCTCTTGAGTCTGTGGCCGGTGATTGTTAACTGTCTCTGTGCCACCTAACCTCTCTTGAGTCTTTGGCCGGTGATTGTCGACTGTGTCTCTGTGCTACCTAACCCCTCTTGAGTCTGTGGCCGGTGATTGTGGACTGTCTCTGTGCTACTTATCCTCTCTTGAGTCTTTGGCCGGTGATTATGGACTGTGTCTGTGCTACCTGACCCATCTTGAGTCTGTGGCCGGTGATTATGGACTGTCTCTGTGCTCCCTAACCCCTCTTGAGTCTGAGGCCGGTGATTGTGGACTGTGTCTGTGCTACCTGACCCATCTAAAGTCTGTGGCCGGTGATTATGGACTGTCTCTGTGCTCCCTAACCCCTCTTGAGTCTGTGGCCGGTGATTGTGGACTGTCTCTGTGCTACCTGACCTCTCTTGAGTCTGTGGCCGGTGATTGTGGACTGTGTCTCTGTGCTACCTAACCTCTCTTTAGTCTTTGGCCGGTGATTGTGGACTGTCTCTGTGCTACCTAACCTCTCTTGAGTCTGTGGCCGGTGATTGTGGACTGTCTCTGTGCTACCTAACCTCTCTTTAGTCTTAGGCCGGTGATTGTGGACTGTCTCTGTGCTACCTAACCCCTCTTGAGTCTGTGACCGGTGATTGTGGACTGTCACTGTGCTACCTAACCTCTCTTGAGTCTGTGGCCGGTGATTGTGGACTGTCTCTGTGCTACCTAACCCCTCTTGAGTCTTTGGCCAGTGATTGTGGACTGTCTCTGTGCTACTTATCCTCTCTTGAGTCTGTGGCCGGTGATTGTGGACTGTGTCTCTGTGCTACCTAACCCCTCTTGAGTCTGTGACCGGTGATTGTGGACTGTCTCTGTGCTACCTAACCCCTCTTGAGTCTGTGACCGGTGATTGTGGACTGTCTCTGTGCTACTTATCCTCTCTTGAGTCTTTGGCCGGTGATTGTGGACTGTCTCTGTGCTACTTATCCTCTCTTGAGTCTGTGACCGGTGATTGTGGACTGTGTCTGTGCTACCTGACCCATCTTGAGTCTGTGGCCGGTGATTATGGACTGTGTCTGTGCTACCTGACCCCTCTTGAGTCTGTGGCCGGTGATTGTGGACTGTCTCTTTGCTACCTAACCCCTCTTGAGTCTGTGACCGGTGATTGTGGACTGTCTCTGTGCTACCTAACCTCTCTAGAGTCTGTGGCCGGGGATTGTGGACTGTCTCTGTGCCACCTAACCTCTCTTGAGTCTGTGGCCGGTGATTGTGGACTGTCTCTGTGCTACCTAACCCCTCTTGAGTTTTTGGCCTGTGATTGTGGACTGTGCCTCTGTGCTACCTAACCCCTCTTGAGTCTGTGGCCGGTGATTGTCGACTGTGTCTCTGTGCTACCTAACCCCTCTTGAATCTTTGGCCGGTGATTGTCGACTGTGTCTCTGTGCTACCTGACCCCTCTTGAGTCTGTGGCCGGTGATTGTGGACTGAAATACTTGCACGATCAATAATAGCACAAAAGCTTGTCCAAAATTCAACATTATTACATGTGTCAAATGATCAAAGAGTGATTTTTAAACCCAAAATATTTATGAGATGAACTACATATTGACGTTAGTTTTAAAGGTCAATTTCTAGAAACCAAACCCCTCTTTAGTCTTTGGCCGGTGATTGTGGACTGTCTCTGTGCTACCTAACCTCTCTTGAGTCTGTGGCCGGTGATTGTGGACTGTGTCTGTGCTACCTAACCTCTCTTTAGTCTTAGGCCGGTGATTGTGGACTGTCTCTTTGCTACCTAACCCCTCTTGAGTCTGTGACCGGTGATTGTGGACTGTCTCTGTGCTACCTAACCTCTCTAGAGTCTGTGGCCGGGGATTGTGGACTGTCTCTGTGCCACCTAACCTCTCTTGAGTCTGTGGCCGGTGATTGTGGACTGTCTCTGTGCTACCTAACCCCTCTTGAGTTTTTGGCCTGTGATTGTGGACTGTGCCTCTGTGCTACCTAACCCCTCTTGAGTCTGTGGCCGGTGATTGTCGACTGTGTCTCTGTGCTACCTAACCCCTCTTGAATCTTTGGCCGGTGATTGTCGACTGTGTCTCTGTGCTACCTGACCCCTCTTGAGTCTGTGGCCGGTGATTGTGGACTGAAATACTTGCACGATCAATAATAGCACAAAAGCTTGTCCAAAATTCAACATTATTACATGTGTCAAATGATCAAAGAGTGATTTTTAAACCCAAAATATTTATGAGATGAACTACATATTGACGTTAGTTTTAAAGGTCAATTTCTAGAAACCAAACCCCTCTTGAGTCTGTGGCTGGGGATTCTGGACAGTGTCTCTCTCAAGTGTTGAAAGAGATGACTTGAACCTCTAGAGCCATAACATGAATTCTACCAATGAGTTATTAGCACACATATTGTAGGTATAGTATAGTTCATGTCAATGATTCCACATATTCTTTGAGTCTGCAACTTTGAGGAGAAATCCCATAGTGACCACAACAATAGCATTATTCAAACTGTTTTATGCTAAATAGTGTGCTTTTGTTGCAGTACATCATCAGAAGATTGTTCATCGAGACATTAAACCTTCCAATCTACTGCTTGCTGATGATGGGCACATAAAGGTGAGTGAGAATGTGTAGTATGGTACAGGACAGTGTATAGACCACCTCATGGAGGTATAGGACAGTATAGACCACTACATGGAGGTACAGGATGGTGTAGTATGGTACAGGACAGTGTATAGACCACCTCATCAGGTAAAGGACAGTATAGACCACTACATGGAGATACAGGACAGTGTATAGACCACCTCATGGAGGTATAGGACAGTATAGACCACTACATGGAGGTACAGGATGGTGTAGTATGGTACAGGACAGTGTATAGACCACCTCATGAGGTAAAGGACAGTATAGACCACTACATGGAGGTACAGGACAGTGTAGTACGGTACAGGACAGTGTATAGACCACCTCATGGAGGTACGGGACAGTGTAAAGACCACCTCATGGAGGTATAGACCACAACATGGAGGTACAGGACAGTGTAGTACAGTATAGACCACTACATGGAGGTACAGGATGGTGTATAGACCACTACATGGAGGTACAGGACAGTGTATAGACCACCTCATGGAGGTACAGGATGGTGTAGTATGGTACAGGACAGTGTATAGACCACCTTATGGAGGTACAGGATGGTGTAGTATGGTATGGAGGTATAGACCACAACATGGAGGTACAGGACAGTGTAGTACAGTATAGACCACTACATGGAGGTACAGGATGGTGTATAGACCACTACATGGAGGTACAGGACAGTGTATAGACCACTACATGGAGGTACAGGATGGTGTAGTATGGTACAGGACAGTGTATAGACCACCTCATGGAGGTATAGGACAGTATAGACCACTACATGGAGGTACAGGACAGTGTAGTATGGTACAGGACAGTGTATAGACCACCTCATGGATGTATAGGACAGTGTAGACCAGGGGTCCGGAAAATTTAAAATCCCAATCGGACATTTGCATTTAGGCCACGCCCCCTTCAAATAGCGTATTTTAGTACGACTTTTCACACACATTACAAGTTTACGTATTCATAATATGATGAATTATGAATTGTTTCAATTTTAAATTGTTTAATTTACCGGACAATTAATAACAAATAATATCATTTTAGATTTACATGGAAAAAATACGTTTGTTTCTGTTATAAATAACGATCTGTTAACGTAGTGAACGGTCTAATTAATATTCATGAGTCTTATTCATGAGTCTGCTCAAGTGTACGCGTTGTAACATTTGGATCGAGACTATTATCCCATATTTGGTTATCACGTGACCTCATGGGAAAAGGGTTTTTTTTAAACTAAAGATTTTTTTAAAAACAAGACAGATATTTTAATCACAAATACTAAAATATCGTTGATAGCAATAGTTATTTGAATACTTTTTTCATCTGTACTTAATTATTGACCATAAAAAAATTGGATATCGATCGTCCGAGAAAGCAAAATGGCGGTCAATCAAGATTCAATATACGACTAGCTACTGAAAACAATAAAATCTGCAAATCCTCATTGTATGTCAACCAAGTGAAAGTCGTTAGCCACGACTTACAAAATGATTGTCCAGACTTTCAGGGTTTTGCAGATCCGCTCGACTGATCTGCATCGGTCGACTGGCTGTCGTCACGCTTTCGCTTCTTGTCTGAGGTTACGTATCGTAGCATTATGAGGATAATGAGGTACATCGATGATGCAAGGTATTAATGTACAGTTGTAAACACCTTTCACTCAAATTAACAAGATGTTCTCAGTAATTAATCCTCGATTAATCAGTGTCAACTCAGTTTATTGCCTATTACAGTGATTGACCGATTGGACTATCATGTAGGTACGATGTATTTACAGCAATCAAAACAAACAAAGCTTTTCAGTGTAGTTAATCTTCATTGTGTTGCAACTGCAGACAGAATCAGTCCTAACTGTTGATCATGTCCGGTCAAAATTTAAGAATGTCCGGACAATACTTTTTAAAATGTCCGGTAAGCAATATTTTAAAACGGACATTTGAGATTCCCAATCGGACATGTCCGGCGCATATGACGGTTTCCGGACCCCTGGTGTAGACCACTACATGGAGGTACAGGACAGTGTATAGACCACTACATGGAGGTACAGGATGGTGTAGTATGGTACAGGACAGTGTATAGACCACCTCATGGAGGTATAGGACAGTATAGACCACTACATGGAGGTACAGGATGGTGTAGTATGGTACAGGACAGTGTATAGACCACCTCATGGAGGTATAGACCACTACATGGAGGTACAGGACAGTGTAGTACGGTACAGGACAGTGTATAGACCACCTCATGGAGGTATAGGACAGTATAGACCACTACATGGAGGTACAGGATGGTGTAGTATGGTACAGGACAGTGTATAGACCACCTCATGGAGGTATAGGACAGTGTAGTACGGCACAGGACAGTGTATAGACCACCTCATGGAGGTATAGGACAGTGTAATACAGTATAGACCACTACATGGAGGTACAGGACAGTGTAGTACGGTACAGGACAGTGTATAGACCACCTCATGGAGGTATAGGACAGTATAGACCAATACATGGATGTACAGGACAGTGTAGTACGGCACAGGACAGTGTATAGACCACCTCATGGAGGTATAGGACAGTATAGACCACTACATGGAGGTACAGGACAGTGTAGTACAGTGTAGACCACTACATTGAGGTACAGGACAGTGTAGTACAGTGAAGACCACTACATGGAGGTACAGGACAGTGTAGTACAGTGAAGACCAATACATGGAGGTACAGGACAGTGTAGTACAGTGTAGACCACTATATGGAGGTACAGGACAGTGTAGTACAGTGTAGACCACTATATGGAGGTACAGGACAGTGTAGTACAGTGTAGACCACTACATTGAGGTACAGGACAGTGTAGTACAGTGAACAGTGTAGTACAGTTCAATTCAATTCAATTCTTTATTGTATGAAAGGCCACAGGCCCATATACAACGGAGTTACATAACATATTTTATAAAATACAAAGTCAAGGTAACAATTCACTTCGTAACAAAAAAGCATTATGTATGTACAAAGCCAGTTGATGTTGTGTTATAAGATCCTTGCAAGACAGTAATGAAGACAATCTTTTAGCATTAAAATGAGATAGAGACCACTGCGGTAAGTACTTGTCTCTTAGATTTTCGTATATAGGGCAAATAAACATGAAATGGTATTCATCTTCGACAACAATGTCACAAAATGGGCATAATCGTATCGATTTCTCAATAGATGAAAATCTCCCTGTGTTAATTTTTAGATCATTCAGGCCAAGTCTAAAACGAATAAGCGTGTTACGAGAATTCCTGTACCGTAAATTTGATAAATAGGATTCTGGTTCAAGCAATGACTTGAATTGACAATAAGTATCATATCTTGAACTTTCATAAATATCTGAATGCCATTTCTGATGAAACATGTCAATGGCACGCATGCGAAAGTACTTAATGAAAGCATTTGCATTACCAATTGTCTGGGACAGCCAAATGAAACCAAAGCCATATGTAAAAAGCAATGTACGAATACAAGAAGCCCATGTGTTCTTTCCAAGATTGTCGAGGTGTACGAGCATGTTGTAGGCTTTCTTGGGTAAATGGTGTTCAGGCATTAATATTATTTTACACCAATACTTCAAACAACGAGTGTAAGATCCAATGTACAATGGGAATCTTACAAGCGAGGAGATGAACCTTTTCAATTGTATAGAACTCTTTACAACCCCATATCTCAGACCCGTATAGTAAAATAGGTTGTATTTGAGAATCAAATAATTTAAAATACATTTTTGGTGAAATAACTCCGAGCTTAGACATAACAAAGTGGACTTGTAACAGAGCTTTCTTTGCTCTGTTTGTGAGATTAATTACTGACTTATTCAGATTCAGTGTATGGGTAAACAATATGCCAAGATATTTGTATTCATGCACAACATTAATACATGTACCTTTAAAAAACCATTTCTCTCTTGTGGCCACTCGACCACCTCTACGAAATATAACAATATTTGTTTTATCAAGATTAACACTAAGTTTCCATTTATCTGCATATTCCGAAAGTATGTTAAGCTGCTTCTGTAGACCAATAATAGTACTAGACATCAAAATCACATCATCTGCAAAAAGTAGCATGAAAAGTTCTATTACATCAGGGGAGAGCTGGACGCCATGTCTACCAGACTGTATGATATCAACATATAACTCATTTATAAAAAAGGAGAAAAGTATAGGACTTAAAACACATCCTTGACGTAAACCTATCGGACAATCAAAAAAGTCACTCTTAATATCACCACAGCGAACACATGATTTTACATTTGCATACATTGATTTAATAATGACAAGCATTTTGCCTCCTAAACCCTTATTTTTCAAACACCTCCACAAATAAGCTCTATTTACAGAATCAAATGCCTTTTTAAAATCAACAAAGGCCACATACAACTTACGTTTCCTGTACGATATATATAAATTCAATGACTGCATACAAAGTAAATATGTGGTCAAAAGTCGAATAGTCCTTTCTAAATCCTGCTTGTGTTTCAGGGATCAAATCTCTTATATTTGACCACTGTGTTAATCTATTATTGATGATAGATGTAAATGCTTTACTAAGGATACTCGTGAGAGATATACCCCGATAATTGTCAGGATTGTTTACGTTTCCATTCTTGAATAACGGAATAATAATAGATTTTGACCAGATAGAAGGAAAAATACCTGTATCAAAAATCCGATTGAAACATTTAACCAGAAAAGGCATAGTATCAGGTAGTGAGTACTTGAGCATTTCAGCTATAACACAATCAATCCCAGCAGATTTACCTGTTTTAAGGTGAGATATAGCATTAAATATTTCCGTTTCCGTGATAGGCGATTCCAACAGAAGCATGTCAACATCACTAAGAATTTCACTGACGCCATCATCATCACGTTCAAAGCACTCATTGTCTACCAAATATATCGAATCATCTTTTGAGAATAACTTCTTGAAATGATGTAACCATTCTGTTTGGGATATAGATCCTTTGGGGGTAGGATGTCTCTGAAGAGAACGTATAGTATTCCAAAATAATTTCGGACTGTGTAAAGTGCTGTTTAGTCGGACTAGCCGTGACAATTTAAGATCATATTTGAACTTTCTACAAAAGTTTTTATACACATTTCTCAGTTTACAGTAGCGTTGTCGGTTGTATTCACTGCGACAACACCTATACCTTCTGAGAGCCTTCCTTGATTCAGATCTTGCTGCCCTACATGCTATATTCAACTTTGGTTTATCGTGTTTATGTTCACCATATTTGATCTGTTTCCTCATACAGGACGCCGAGTCTAGAACATACTGTACCAAATATGTAATCCCCTCCTCTACATTAGCTTCAATTTTATCCATCAAGGAATTTTCATGAATATGCAAGGACCATCTAAGTGCTGTAATAAAAATGCTTTTCTTCGATTCGTTCCATGAAAATGTACTGTTCATAGAGACATCATCCTCACAGTCTAAACTATGTATGGCACGATTGCTACAAGGAAAACTGCAGGATAACTCAAGAGGGAAATGGTCTGAATCTGATCGATCACCAACATTTAACATATCTACATACTGGAAAAAATCAGCAGATGCAATAAAATAATCAACAACACTAGAACCAGTATCTCCTACAAAAGTAAACTCGCCTGCACTATCACCATAAACTCTCCCATTTAGTATAAACATACAAAGTACAAAGCATAGATTCAATAAAATGCGTCCGAATCTATTGATAGTACCATCGTGCGATACACGTTGTTCAACAGGGGCATTGTCAACATCAATGTATACATCATCATGTCCAAAGTCATCACTTTCCTCAGAAATGGGGTTATTTTCGTTGCCTGTGCGGGCATTAAAATCACCACAGAGTAGCACATGTGAAGAAGTGAAATCAGACCAATGCTCCAATATAAAAGCTTCCACTTTATCAATAAGGCAACCTGAATCAGTTCTCCCTTTGTAAAATGTTGAACCTGCTGGAGGGACATATGTACACAACAACATTAAATCACATTTCAAATTAAACACAGATTTTGGAAATTTTAAACATATGAAATTTTCTATGTCGGTGCTAAGGTGAATGCACATGTTCACAACATCTTGCCTAACGCAGAGACACACACCACCAGAACATCTACCTGACAATGATTTTTTAACTGCTGGGGCAAAATACATTTGGTAACCAGGTAACCAGTTTAAGTCTGCGAAATCTGATATAAATGTCTCCAAGAGACACACAATATCAAATGATTGGAGGTAGGCAATAAAGTCACAATCATCAAACATTTTACGAAGGCCACAAATGTTCCAGGACAACAATGACAAATGTTTATCGTTACCGGTGTTATTTCCATTCTGTGTCGAATACTGGCCCTGGCCGGATTGTTATCTCTTATGGTAGCCACCACGCTTTGAGGTACTCCTCAATTGTCGTTTGGAGCTCTCAGATTTGTGTGTGTCATGGTTATGTTCATCATTTCGTGGTTTAGTTAACAGCTTACCATTTTTAAAATATCCAATCAGTCCTCTATCTTTCACGGCTTTAAGTTGTTCGCGTTGGCGGATAGTTAAGTCACTTGAGACTCCATAACCGATATTCTTGAGTGTTGGTCGAGCTTTCAATACTTCAATCTTGTCATCAGACAGCCGTAATTTAGCAATTAGCGGTCTTGGTTAAGAGGTATCCTCACGTTGGGCGCCGAGTCGATGTGCACGGATGACGTCATCACTAACCCATGTCTTGGTCTGAACATTGCTGTTCAAGATGTCTAGTACCTTGACCTTGCAATCAGTGTGCGTCTCCCCTGTTTCCTCTGTCACGTTATAGAGGATAACGTTGTCACGCCTGCTAAATGCCTCTAGCTTGTCGATCTCGCCGTCGAACTGTGCTAATTTCTCTTCCACGTTTTCCATCTTACCAGAGATCAAACCAACGTCCTCGTACATCATGCTCTGGTTGTGTTGTACAGTTTCCATGTCACTCTGGAGTTTGGTCATCTTTGATTCAATGTTATGAAATCTGGTGCTCAGATCTCGAACCTCATTTGATAGTGTGGTTATCTGACTTCCGAGATCACATTTCACGCACTGGATTTCCTTCAAAATGGTATCTTTGACTTCTGCTAAGGTAAGTGGTCCAGGATTCATTTCGATGTCGTTTGCACACAAGATTCTATGTGTTATTACCTCAGCGGGCAGTGGATTACCACCTAAAAGGCAAGCGACTGGAGCACATGAAGATTGAGATGGCCAAGCTGGCCATTCAGTTTTGAATGATGTGACGTCACTGGTGAAAACAAGGTCACAAACATGCTCTTTTGGTAAATATGAATAAATTTCAACATTTTCACATGCGTTCAAAACAGCATAGCTAAAACCAATATGCAAGATAAACACAGCTGCGCATACAACGATTCTGAAATGTAAATCAGACCCAACGACAGTCGGTGAATACTCGCCATGTTTGTCAAGTGTTACTTGCCGGGTGCCTTTTGGTTGAGTGAAAAGTCCAATTCTTGCTCTATAGACGTCGATCGACACCATTTCTTGTCTTACTTCGGTCCCTGGTATTATGTCAAACGCTTATTTCAACTTCAATTCTGTCTATTTCGGCCATAATACGACATTAAGGTGATTTTTTGACAGAGCGCATCAACACACGTCTTGACATGACAAGGGGCGTAACTCATGGAGGTACAGGACAGTGTAGTACAGTATAGACCACTACATGGAGGTACAGGACAGTGTAGTACAGTGTAGAACAGTGTAGACCACTACATGGAGGTACAGGACAGTGTAGTACAGTGTAGACCACTACATGGAGGTACAGGACAGTGTTATACAGTGTAGACCACTACATGGAGGTACAGGACAGTGTAGTACAGTATAGACCACTACATGGAGGTACAGGACAGTGTAGTACAGTGTAGACCAGGGGTCCGGAAAATTTAAAATCCCAATCGGACATTTGCATTTAGGCCACGCCCCCTTCAAATAGCGTATTTTAGTACGACTTTTCACACACATTACAAGTTTACGTATTCATAATATGATGAATTATGAATTGTTTCAATTTAAATTGTTTAATTCACCGGACAATTATATATAACATATAATATCATTTTAGATTAACATGGAAAACATACGTTTGTTTCTGTTATAATCGATCTGTTAACGTAGTGAACGGTCTAATTAATATTCATGAGTTATATTCATGAGTCTGCTCAAGTGTACGCATTGTAACATTTGGATCGAGACTATTATCCCATATTTGGTTATCACGTGACCTCTTGGGAAAAGTTTTTTTTCAAACTAAATATTTTTTTAAAAACAAGACAGATAATTTAATCACAAATACTAAAATATCGTTGATAGCAATAGTTATTTGAATAATTTTTTCATCTGTACTTAATTATTGACCATAAAAAAATTGGATATGCGATCGTCCGAGAAAGCAAAATGGCGGTCAATCAAGATTCAATATACGACTAGTTACTGAAAACAATAAAATCTGCAAATCCTCATTGTATGTCAACCAAGTGAAAGTCGTTAGCCACGACTTACAAAATGATCATCCAGACTTTGAGGGTTTGGCAGATCCGCTCGACTGATCTGCATCGGTCGACTGGCTGTCGTCACGCTTTCGCTTCTTGTCTGAGGTTATGTATCGTAGCATTGTGAGGATAATGAGGTACATCGATGATGCAAGGTATTAATGTACAGTTGTAAACACCTTTCAGTCAAATTAACAAGATGTTCTCAGTAATTAATCCTCGATTAATCAGTGTCAACTCAGTTTATTGCCTATTACAGTGATTGACCGATTGGACTATCACGTAGGTACGATGTATTTTCAGCAATCAAAACAAACAAAGCTTGTCAGTGTAGTTAATCTTCATTGTGTTGCAACTGCAGACAGAAACTGCTCAGTCCTAACTGTTGATCATGTCCGGTCAAAATTTAAGAATGTCCGGACAATACGTTTTAAAATGTCCGGTAAGCAATATTTTAAAACGGACATTTGAGATTCCCAATCGGACATGTCCGGCGCATATGACGGTTTCCGGACCCCTGGTGTAGACCACTACATGGAGGTACAGGACAGTGTAGTACAGTATAGACCACTACATTGAGGTACAGGACAGTGTAGTACAGTATAGACCACTACATGGAGGTACAGGACAGTATAGTACAGTGAAGACCACTACATGGATGTACAGGACAGTGTAGTACAGTATAGACCACTACCTGGAGGTACAGGACAGTGTAGTAAAGTGTAGAACACTACATTGAGTATGATGTGTACATGTAAGTGAAGCTGATGCCAAGTAAGATATGTGTTTGTTCACAGATTGCTGACTTCGGTGTGAGTAATGAGTTTAGTGGTGGGGATGCTTTTCTCACCAACACAGCTGGCACTCCTGCATTCATGGCACCAGAAACACTGAAAGGTTGGTTTCCCTAGTCTGTTGAGAAGCAATCATTTGAAGCAATCTGCAGAATTTTCCACTAATACCACTCGCATGTAAGCTTTAAGAGTTGACTAGTGTATCACAATGTGTTAAATGGGCACACACCTGGGATATTGTCCCCTGTCACATATAGTGGTCGGGTAGGCTGATGACGAGTGGTAGCTACCCCATGGAGGATTTAGGGGAGACTGATGACTGATGACCAGTGGTAGCCACCCCATGGGGGATGTAGGGGAGACTGATGACCAGTGGTAGCAACCCCATGGGGGATGTAGGGGAGACTGATGACCAGTGGTAGCCGCCCCATGGGGGATGTAGGGGAGACTGATGACCAGTGGTAGCCACCTCATGGGGGATGTAGGGGAGACTGATGACCAGTGGTAGCCACCCCATGGGGGATGTAGGGGAGACTGATGACTGATGACCAGTGGTAGCCGCCCCATGGGGGATGTAGGGGAGACTGATGACCAGTGGTAGCCACCCCATGGGGGATGTAGGGGAGACTGATGACTGATGACCAGTGGTAGCCACCTCATGGGGGATGTAGGGGAGACTGATGACTGATGACCAGTGGTAGCCACCCCATGGGGGATGTAGGGGAGACTGATGACTGATGACCAGTGGTAGCCGCCCCATGGGGGATGTAGGGGAGACTGATGACTGATGACCAGTGGTAGCCGCCCCATGGGGGATGTAGGGGAGACTGATGACCAGTGGTAGCCGCCCCATCGGGGATGTAGGGGAGACTGATGACCAGTGGTAGCCACCTCATGGGGGATGTAGGGGAGACTGATGACCAGTGGTAGCCACCCCATGGGGGATTTAGGGGAGACTAACGACCAGTGGTAGCCACCCCATTGGGGATGTAGGGGAGACTGATGACCAGTGGTAGCCAACCCATGGGGGATGTAGGGGAGACTGATGACCAGTGGTAGCCGCCCCATCGGGGATGTAGGGGAGACTGATGACCAGTGGTAGCCGCCCCATGGGGGATGTAGGGGAGACTGATGACCAGTGGTAGCCACCCCATCGGGGATGTAGGGGAGACTGATGACCAGTGGTAGCCACCCCATGGGGAATGTAGGGGAGACTGATGACCAGTGGTAGCCGCCCCATCGGGGATGTAGGGGAGACTGATGACCAGTGGTAGCCGCCCCATCGGGGATGTAGGGGAGACTGATGACCAGTGGTAGCCACCCCATGGGGAATGTAGGGGAGACTGATGACCAGTGTTAGCCACCCCATCGGGGATGTAGGGGAGACTAATGACCAGTGGTAGCCACCCCATTGGGATGTAGGGGAGACTGATGACCAGTGTTAGCCGCCCCATGGGGAATGTAGGGGAGACTGATGACCAGTGGTAGTCGCCCCATGGGGGATGTAGGGGAGACTGATGACCAGTGTTAGCCACCCCATCGGGGATGTAGGGGAGACTGATGACCAGTGGTAGCCACCCCATCGGGGATGTAGGGGAGACTGATGACCAGTGTTAGCCGCCCCATGGGGGATGTAGGGGAGACTGATGACCAGTGGTAGTCGCCCCATGGGGGATGTAGGGGAGACTGATGACCAGTGTTAGCCACCCCATCGGGGATGTAGGGGAGACTGATGACCAGTGGTAGTCGCCCCATGGGGGATGTAGGGGAGACTGATGACCAGTGGTAGCCGCCCCATCGGGGATGTAGGGGAGACTGATGACCAGTGGTAGCCACCTCATGGGGGATGTAGGGGAGACTGATGACCAGTGGTAGCCACTCAACAGGTAGTCCAGCTTATGTTAACATGTACATTTTTTCATTTCAGAAGAGCGTGAAAAATACAGCGGCAAGGTGAGTCTGAAGGGGAGAGGTTGTCTGCTGGGAATCTGGTGCTTCTCCAGTGCCAGGACTCCCTAAACAATGTCACTGGTGTTGGCTTATTGTAACATATATATCCCCAGTGCATGTCTGTTGATGTGACAGTGCATGTCTGTTGATGTTACAGTGCATGCCTGTTGATGTTACAGTGCATGTCTGTTGATGTTACAGTGTATGTCTGTTGATGTTACAGTGTATATCTGTTGATGTTACAGTGTATGTCTGTTGATGTTACAGTGCATGTTGATGTGACAGTGTATGTCTGTTGATGTTACAGTGCATGTCTGTTAATGTTATAGTGTATGTCTGTTAATGTTACAGTGCATGTCTGTTGATGTTACAGTGCATGTCTGTTAATGTTACAGTGTATGTCTGTTATTGTTACAGTGTATGTCTGTTGATGTTACAGTGTATGTTTGTTGATGTTACAGTGTATGTCTGTTGATGTTAAAGTGTATGTTTGTTAATGTTACAGTGTATGTTTGTTGATGTTACAGTGCATGTTGATGTGACAGTGCATGTCTCTTAATGTTACAGTGTATGTCTGTTGATGTTACAGTGTATGTTTGTTGATGTTACAGAGTGTGTCTGTTGATGTGACAGTGTATGTCTGTTAATGTTACAGTGTATTTCTGTTGATGTTACAGTGCCTGTTGATGTGACAGTGTATGTCTGTTGATGTTACAGTGTATGTTTGTTAATGTTACAGTGTATGTCTGTTGATGTTACAGTGTATGTTTGTTAATGTTACAGTGTATGTTTGTTGATGTGACAGTGTATGTCTGTTGATGTTACAGTGTATGTCTGTTGATGTTACAGTGTATGTTTGTTGATGTTACAGTGTATGTCTGTTGATCTTAAAGTGTATGTTTGTTAATGTTACAGTGTATGTTTGTTGATGTTACAGTGCATGTTGATGTGACAGTGCATGTCTCTTAATGTTACAGTGTATGTCTGTTGATGTTACAGTGTATGTTTGTTGATGTTACAGAGTGTGTCTGTTGATGTGACAGTGTATGTCTGTTAATGTTACAGTGTATTTCTGTTGATGTTACAGTGCCTGTTGATGTGACAGTGTATGTCTGTTGATGTTACAGTGTATGTTTGTTAATGTTACAGTGTATGTCTGTTGATGTTACAGTGTATGTTTGTTAATGTTACAGTGTATGTTTGTTGATGTGACAGTGTATGTCTGTTGATGTTACAGTGTATGTCTGTTGTTACAGTGTATGTCTGTTGATGTTACAGTGTATGTATGTTAATGTTACAGTGTATGTTTGTTGATGTGACAGTGTATGTCTGTTAATGTTACAGTGTATGTCTATTGATGTTACAGTGCCTGTTGATGTGACAGTGCATGTCTGTTGATGTTACAGTGTATGTTTGCTGATGTGACAGTGTATGTCTGTTAATGTTACAGTGTATGTCTGTTGATGTAACAGAATGTTTGTTGATGTTACAGTGTATTCTGTTGATGTTACAGTGTATGTCTGTTGATGTTACAGTTTGTCTGTTGATGTAACAGTATGTCTGTTGATGTTACAGTGTATGTTTGCTGATGTTACAGTGTATGTCTGTTGATGTAACAGTATGTTTGTTGATGTTACAGTGTATGTCTTTTAATGTTACAGTGTATGTCTGTTGATGTAACAGTATGTCTGTTGATGTTACAGTGTATTCTGTTGATGTTACAGTTTATGTCTGTTGATGTTACAGTTTGTCTGTTGATGTTACAGTGTATTCTGTTGATGTTACAGTGTATGTCTGTTGATGTTACAGTTTATGTCTGTTGATGTAACAGTATGTCTGTTGATGTTACAGTGTATGTCTGTTGACTTTTTCAGGCTCTGGACATTTGGGCCATGGGAGTGACTTTGTTCTGCTTTGTCTATGGTCGAGTAAGTACCACTGCCTCTTCAACACTTGTGACATGTTCAAAACAGTATGCTATTCAGGTGAATTGAATACATTTTGTTTATGATTTTACCATTGTACTGAGACCATATATGCTTAAATATTCTTAAAATGTGCTATTCTCATTGAAATTTGTGAAGTAATGTTGCTGAAGCCACTTTAGACTGAAAGCACTAGTAATATATGTCCCTGTACTGTTGAACACAGTTATAACACACAGCATTGTTGCAGATTGTTAGATATGAGTTGATACTTTAATTAGTGTACTGATGACAATTGTGATGACTATCAGTTTTCCATGTCACCATTAAGTGCTTAAATATCTCAGTGGAAAAGCTCTGAGAACACTCTACTTTGGAGGTTACAAGAGTATAATGAATAAACCTGATTGAATTGTTAAGCAACTCGGTAAATCTGAAGACTGGTACCTGTGTCCTGCCAAACAGCGTCTGTGTCATTACCTCCACAGCACACAGAAGCACTGGTACAGATGTAGACTGTTTCCAGCCAAACAGCGTCTGTGTCATTACCTCCACAGCACACAGAAGCACTGGTACACATGTAGATTGTTTCCTGCCAAGCCATGACTGTGTCATTACCTCCACAGCACACAGAAGCACTGGTACACATGTTGATTGTTTCCTGCCAAACAGCGTCTGTGTCATTACCTCCACAGCACACAGAAGCACTTGTACACATGTAGACTGTTTCCTGCCATACAGCGTCTGTGTCATTACCTCCACAGCACACAGAAGCACTGGTACACATGTAGATTGTTTCCTGCCAAACAGCGTCTGTGTCATTACCTCCACAGCACACAGAAGCACTTGTACACATGTAGATTGTTTCCTGCCAAGCCATGTCTGTGTCATTACCTCCACAGCACACAGAAGCACTGGTACAGATGTAGATTGTTTCCTGCCAAGCCATGTCTGTGTCATTACCTCCACAGCACACAGAAGCACTGGTACAGATGTAGACTGTTTCCTGCCAAGCCATGTCTGTGTCATTACCTCCACAGCACACAGAAGCACTGGTACAGATGTAGACTGTTTCCTGCCAAACAGCGTCTGTGTCATTACCTCCACAGCACACAGAAGCACTTGTACACATGTAGACTGTTTCCTGCCATACAGCGTCTGTGTCATTACCTCCACAGCACACAGAAGCACTGGTACACATGTAGATTGTTTCCTGCCAAACAGCGTCTGTGTCATTACCTCCACAGCACACAGAAGCACTTGTACACATGTAGATTGTTTCCTGCCACGCCATGTCTGTGTCATTACCTCCACAGCACACAGAAGCACTGGTACAGATGTAGATTGTTTCCTGCCAAGCCATGTCTGTGTCATTACCTCCACAGCACACAGAAGCACTGGTACAGATGTAGACTGTTTCCTGCCAAACAGCGTCTGTGTCATTACCTCCACAGCACACAGAAGCACTGGTACACATGTAGATTGTTTCCTGCCAAGCCATGTCTGTGTCATTACCTCCACAGCACACAGAAGCACTTGTACACATGTAGATTGTTTCCTGCCAAGCCATGTCTGTGTCATTACCTCCACAGCACACAGAAGCACTGGTACAGATGTAGATTGTTTCCTGCCAAGCCATGTCTGTGTCATTACCTCCACAGCACACAGAAGCACTGGTACAGATGTAGACTGTTTCCTGCCAAACAGCGTCTGTGTCATTACCTCCACAGCAAACAGAAGCACTGGTACAGATGTAGATTGTTTCCTGCCAAGCCATGTCTGTGTCATTACCTCCACAGCACACAGAAGCACTGGTACACATGTAGACTGTTTCCTGCCAAACAGCATCTGTGTCATTACCTCCACGGCACACAGAAGCACTGGTACAGATGTAGATTGTTTCCTGCCAAGCCATGTCTGTGTCATTACCTCCACAGCACACAGAAGCACTGGTACAGATGTAGACTGTTTCCTGCCAAACAGCGTCTGTGTCATTACCTCCACAGCACACAGAAGCACTGGTACAGATGTAGACTGTTTCCTGCCAAACAGCGTCTGTGTCATTACCTCCACAGCACACAGAAGCACTTGTACACATGTAGACTGTTTCCTGCCATACAGCGTCTGTGTCATTACCTCCACAGCACACAGAAGCACTGGTACACATGTAGATTGTTTCCTGCCATACAGCGTCTGTGTCATTACCTCCACAGCACACAGAAGCACTGGTACAGATGTAGATTGTTTCCTGCCAAACAGCGTCTGTGTCATTACCTCCACAGCACACAGAAGCACTGGTACAGATGTAGACTGTTTCCTGACACATTTAATATTGTGCTTTGTGACGCCAACATCACTTTTAATTTATAGGTGCCTTTTGAAGATGAATTCATCTTGGGACTTCACAAGAAAATTCTGAAGGATCCTGTAAGGTTTCCTGAAATGTGAGTAGCATGAAACAAGTGTACTGCCGTTGGTGGCATCACATGACACTTGACTGTAAGGAGACAGTTTAACCATCTTGAGTAGATGCCACATGTTAGCAAGCAAATATTGCTTGATTGTAGAAGTCACTATATATTGTTTGTTTGTTTGATTGATAGTTGTTTAACGTAGCACTCAACAATATTCCAGCTATATGATGGCAGTCATTAAATAATTGAGCCTGGACCAGAAAATCTAGTGATTGACATCATGAGCATTGATCCATACAATGGGGATATGAAGACATGCATCAACCAAGTCAGCAAGCCTGACCACCTGATCCCATTAGTCTCCCTTTACAATAGGCAAAGTAGCCTTTTACGTCAAGCATGGGTTCCTGAAGACCTATTCTACCCAAGGTCTTCATGGGTGCAGTATCTGTTGAAATTAATACTATTGATACACACATTGTTACTTTCCCTTTTATGTTGTCTCTTACCAGGCCTGCTGTGTCAAATGACTTGAAGAATCTGCTTCTGCGAATGTTAGAAAAGATCCCAGATACTCGTATCTCTCTCAATGAACTGAAGGTAATGTACCAAGTGTCTTCCTTCTCTCGCCAGCAGACTTCCAATGTGTATTAATGCCCGACATGGTCACTCTGTAGTCAGAAGACTTGCGATGTGTACTGATGCCAGACATGATCACTCTGTAGTCAGAAGACTTGCCATGTGTACTGATGCCGGACATGGTCAATCTGTAGTCAGAAGACTTGCCATGTGTACTGATGCCAGACATGGTCATTCTGTAATCAGCAGACTTGCCATGTGTACTGATGCCAGACGTGGTCATTCTGTAGTCAGCATACTTGCCATGTGTACTGATGCCAGACATGGTCACTCTGTAGTCAGCATACTTGCCATGTGTACTGATGCCAGACATGGTCACTCTGTAGTCAGCAGACTTGCCATGTGTACTGATGCCAGACATGGTCACTCTGTAGTCAGCATACTTGCCATGTGTACTGATGCCAGACGTGGTCATTCTGTAATCAGCAGACTTGCCATGTGTACTGATGCCAGACATGGTCACTCTGTAGTCAGCAGACTTGCCATGTGTACTGATGCCAGACATGGTCACTCTGTAGTCAGCATACTTGCCATGTGTACTGATGCCAGACATGGTCACTCTGTAGTCAGCAGACTTGCCATGTGATTGATGCCAGACATGGTCACTCTGTAGTCAGCAGACTTGCCATGTGATTGATGCCAGACATGGTCACTCTGTAATCAGCAGACTTGCCATGTGTACTGATGCCAGACATGGTCACTCTGTAGTCAGCATACTTGCCATGTGTACTGATGCCAGACATGGTCACTCTGTAGTCAGCAGACTTGCCATTCGTACTGATGCCAGACATGGTCATTCTGTAGTCAGCAGACTTGCCATGTGATTGATGCCAGACATGGTCACTCTGTTGTCAGCAGACTTGCCATGTGTACTGATGCCAGACATGGTCACTCTGTTGTCAGCATACTTGCCATGTGTACTGATGCCAGACATGGTCACTCTGTAGTCAGCATACTTGCCATGTGATTGATGCCAGACATGGTCACTCTGTAGTCAGCAGACTTGCCATGTGTACTGATGCCAGACATGGTCATTCTGTAGTCAGCAGACTTGCCATGTGTACTGATGCCAGACATGGTCACTCTGTAGTCAGCAGACTTGCCATGTGTACTGATGCCAGACATGGTCACTCTGTAGTCAGCAGACTTGCCATGTGTACTGATGCCAGACATGGTCACTCTGTAGTCAGCAGACTTGCCATGTGTACTGATGCCAGACATGGTCACTCTGTAGTCAGCATACTTGCCATGTGTACTGATGCCAGACATGGTCACTCTGTAGTCAGCATACTTGCCATGTGTACTGATGCCAGACGTGGTCACTCTGTAGTCAGCAGACTTGCCATGTGTACTGATGCCAGACATGGTCACTCTGTAGTCAGCAGACTTGCCATGTGTACTGATGCCAGACATGGTCACTCTGTAGTCAGCAGACTTGCCATGTGTACTGATGCCAGACGTGGTCACTCTGTAGTCAGCAGACTTGCCATGTGTACTGATGCCAGACATGGTCATTCTGTAGTCAGCAGACTTGCCATGTGTACTGATGCCAGACATGGTCACTCTGTTGTCAGCAGACTTGCCATGTGTACTGATGCCAGACGTGGTCACTCTGTTGTCAGCAGACTTGCCATGTGTACTGATGCCAGACATGGTCACTCTGTAGTCAGCAGACTTGCCATGTGATTGATGCCAGACATGGTCACTCTGTTGTCAGCAGACTTGCCATGTGTACTGATGCCAGACATGGTCACTCTGTAGTCAGCAGACTTGCCATGTGATTGATGCCAGACATGGTCACTCTGTAGTCAGCAGACTTGCCATGTGATTGATGCCAGACATGGTCACTCTGTTGTCAGCAGACTTGCCATGTGTACTGATGCCAGACATGGTCACTCTGTTGTCAGCATACTTGCCATGTGTACTGATGCCAGACGTGGTCACTCTGTAGTCAGCAGACTTGCCATGTGATTGATGCCAGACATGGTCACTCTGTTGTCAGCAGACTTGCCATGTGTACTGATGCCAGACATGGTCACTCTGTAGTCAGCAGACTTGCCATGTGATTGATGCCAGACATGGTCACTCTGTAGTCAGCAGACTTGCCATGTGATTGATGCCAGACATGGTCACTCTGTAGTCAGCAGACTTGCCATGTGATTGATGCCAGACATGGTCACTCTGTTGTCAGCAGACTTGCCATGTGTACTGATGCCAGACATGGTCATTCTGTAATCAGCAGACTTGCCATGTGTACTGATGCCAGATGTGGTCACTCTGTTGTCAGCAGACTTGCCATGTGATTGATGCCAGACATGGTCACTCTGTTGTCAGCAGACTTGCCATGTGTACTGATGCCAGACATGGTCACTCTGTAGTCAGCATACTTGCCATGTGTACTGATGCCAGACATGGTCACTCTGTTGTCAGCAGACTTGCCATGTGTACTGATGCCAGACATGGTCACTCTGTAGTCAGCAGACTTGCCATGTGATTGATGCCAGACATGGTCACTCTGTTGTCAGCAGACTTGCCATGTGTACTGATGCCAGACATGGTCACTCTGTAGTCAGCAGACTTGCCATGTGTACTGATGCCAGACATGGTCACTCTGTTGTCAGCAGACTTGCCATGTGTACTGATGCCAGACATGGTCACTCTGTAGTCAGCAGACTTGCCATGTGATTGATGCCAGACATGGTCACTCTGTAGTCAGCAGACTTGCCATGTGTACTGATGCCAGACATGGTCACTCTGTTGTCAGCAGACTTGCCATGTGTACTGATGCCAGACATGGTCACTCTGTAGTCAGCATACTTGCCATGTGATTGATGCCAGACATGGTCACTCTGTAATCAGCAGACTTGCCATGTGTACTGATGCCAGACATGGTCACTCTGTAGTCAGCATACTTGCCATGTGTACTGATGCCAGACATGGTCACTCTGTAGTCAGCAGACTTGCCATGTGTACTGATGCCAGACATGGTCACTCTGTAGTCAGCAGACTTGCCATGTGTACTGATGCCAGACATGGTCACTCTGTAGTCAGCAGACTTGCCATGTGATTGATGCCAGACATGGTCACTCTGTTGTCAGCAGACTTGCCATGTGTACTGATGCCAGACATGGTCACTCTGTAGTCAGCAGACTTGCCATGTGATTGATGCCAGACATGGTCACTCTGTAGTCAGCAGACTTGCCATGTGATTGATGCCAGACATGGTCACTCTGTTGTCAGCAGACTTGCCATGTGTACTGATGCCAGACATGGTCATTCTGTAATCAGCAGACTTGCCATGTGTACTGATGCCAGATGTGGTCACTCTGTTGTCAGCAGACTTGCCATGTGATTGATGCCAGACATGGTCACTCTGTTGTCAGCAGACGTGCCATGTGTACTGATGCCAGACATGGTCACTCTGTAGTCAGCATACTTGCCATGTGTACTGATGCCAGACATGGTCACTCTGTTGTCAGCAGACTTGCCATGTGTACTGATGCCAGACATGGTCACTCTGTAGTCAGCAGACTTGCCATGTGATTGATGCCAGACATGGTCACTCTGTTGTCAGCAGACTTGCCATGTGTACTGATGCCAGACATGGTCACTCTGTAGTCAGCATACTTGCCATGTGTACTGATGCCAGACATGGTCACTCTGTTGTCAGCAGACTTGCCATGTGTACTGATGCCAGACATGGTCACTCTGTAGTCAGCAGACTTGCCATGTGTACTGATGCCAGACATGGTCACTCTGTTGTCAGCAGACTTGCCATGTGTACTGATGCCAGACATGGTCACTCTGTAGTCAGCAGACTTGCCATGTGTACTGATGCCAGACATGGTCATTCTGTTGTCAGCAGACTTGCCATGTGTACTGATGCCAGACTTGAGGCTACTTGCTGCAGAATGATTAACTGCCAACTAACATAAAATGCAGTTGCCAATCTTGGTTCTTACCCCCAAATAGCTTGGTCTTGAAAATATTAACTGAATAGCATGTGCTGTATACTGGTTGAAGAATGCTCTCATTGCGTCCCCTGTGAGTGATTGTTGTTGTCTCCAGGACCACCCGTGGGTAACCCGTGACTGCCAGCACCCACTGCCCACAGAGGAGGAGAACTGCAGTCTGGTTGAGATCACAGATGAGGACATCGAGAATGTCATTAAACATGTGCCCAAACTAGAAACACTGGTATGTATAGCTTTATCATGTTTCAGTAGTTATGTTTATTTTCACTTTCTTACAGTGTTGCATTCCAGGCCTAACATTGACACTGACAGCTCCAGATTTTGTCAAAAGATCAAATGCCAACAAAGTATCATTATTTACTTCCTACCCTTGAAATGTAATGTGTAAGGAGTCAGAATACTCTGTATTCCAGTGTCTACAGCCTCTGAGTATAGTTTCAGGCCAGGTTTTCCGTGACCTTTGTTTCGCACTCAATCCAAACTAAAGTACTCACGGAAATGAAAAAAAACTGTTTTTTCGATCTCAGATTTTAAATAAATGCAGTTAATATACAATATATATAAATATTCAAACAACTCAATTAGTACTAATTGGGTCTTGGCACAGCGTATCAAAGGTTTTTATGTCTTTTTACACATAAAAGTGTGTAAAAATATGAACAAAACAGACTATTGTGAAACTGAGCATAACCAGGTGTTAGTAGATCAAGGTGAATGTCCATGACCTATGACACCTTGACGACAGATGAAAACAGGTGCTTGAAACCCACGTGCATGTGATTTGTCAGTGGTTAGTGATTTGTCAGTGGCATTGTGGGATAGTGAATCATCGTCAAAATATCAGAACGTAAAAGTAACATATTCCCTTCTCAAACAACAACTTACATGTCATTATTATTATGTACATAAACATAGCTGTTATTTTTATTGTTGTTTTAATAACTTTTTTCCAGGCTAATTTGCATAATGCCTATAGCCTGTTTCTGCCATGTCAATTTGGACTAGTTTTATTTTTGAATGTTGAAAGTGCCTACAAATTACCTCGTGTAATGTACATTTTGTATTGAGCACTGAGATAAAACTAGCAAATCCAGACTAGTACTTTTCCAGTTGTTTTGTTATTTCGTATTTACATCTACATAATGCTTTGTGTCGATTATTAAATCCAGCAAAACAGGTTTTTTTCATTTCCATGAGTACTTTAGTGATGCCATGTCTGACAACCATTCATACCTATCTGATACCAAATGGATATCTTATTTCGTAATATGAAATAAAAACCCATCCATATTGATATAAAGTAAAATCTAAGCTTGGAAGAGTCTGGATGTGACCTATATTCAAAATCTTTCAGGTTCTATTTTTTCCTCTCAGATTCTAACATTACAGTAAATACTGTAAATCGTGAAATTAATGCGTCTCCAAAAGAATGCGACTGCTGGCCCCAAGCCAAAAATGCGACTCAACCTGAATGCAACTGCCCCTTCCTCTCAAGCATCAGTGAATTTAAATCTGAAGAAAATGTCCTCTGTCAGGTTTACTGGAGAATCCTCACCTAAATCCAATCTTACTTAACACCCAATCCCACACCAAATGGCACCGCATATTAGAGTAGAGTACTTCCGCTAAAACAATACATGTGTGCTGGCTCGTGTCGGCCTCTGACGCAGTTGCAAAGAACAATGAGGGAACTTAAGTCATATAGTCGGATTTACCACGTTTTGCACGTGCTTAGACAGCACGTGCTATGTCATACTTTTGTTTTCTCCGCGAAGCAGGTATTCTAGCTATCTGTTCAAGCTTAACATGTCTTCAAACTAAGGTTAGATCATGGAAATTGTAACTTGTTTCATGTGAGAGTCATCATGATATTTTAATTTAGTCAATCTTTTACCAAATAAGAAAACAGAAAAGTATTAGGACAGCTTTAATATTCAATAAAGTAACTTTTATACTTGGTTTAGAACTTAAGACTTATTTTGAAGTTTTATTTAAAGTTTTATTTAAAGATAATACCCATTTGAGATTTTATTTCACATTCACTGAAGCGTGGATGATTTGCATACTACTTCTTGTGTATAAAACTATAGTGCCTGAATTACCTCCCTTAGTTTTTGCTGATACCCACTAGGCAAGTACTGTGCGTTGTCAACATCTTTTGTGGTAATGTTTGGGGTACCGTTGCAACTTCCTCTGAAGTGGGCTGCTTGGGACCCTGACTGCTTACTTAACTAAACAACAAGAAAGATGGCCATTGTCTGTCTTGTGACCATGTGCTCCTCCACCATAAACCATTCATCTTAAAGAGATCATACCAGCCGTGGTGGCCCTAAAAGGCACTCAGATCCATTATTTAACATGGCCACAATATTTGGCCATTACTGAACCATTCTGCATGTATCTACATGAAAGTTTACTCAGTATAATGTGGTATGGTTACTGTTACATTGTGTTGTGTATTGATACTTGTTATCCCCCCGGCATATAATGCGGGGGCATATAGCGATCAGCCAGTCTGTCCGTCTGTCTGTCTGTCCGTAATCATTTCCTTTTCCGGGGCAGAACTCGAAAACAGTTCAGTGTATTTGATTGAAACTTGACATATCTATCAGTCACATACTGAAGTTGTGCCTTTTGCTATTTAGGAATTTTAGAAATTTTTATTTTTTATGTTTCCATGGTAACAAGTTGGACTTAGGTTCTATAAGGGTGGTGTTCGTTTCCAGAGTGTAACTCAAAAACCGTTAAATACTTTCTTACAAAACTTTGCATGTCTACCAGGCACATACTGAACTGGTGCCTTTTGCAGTTAGGAATATTATACATTTTTATTTGTTATGTTTCCGTGGTAACAAGTTGGACTTAGGTTCTATAAGAGTGGTGTTTGTTTCTGGAGAGTAACTCAAAAACCGTTAAATACTTTCTTACAAAACTTTGCATGTCTACCAGGCACATACTGAAGTATCTTAATTGGACAAGACATGCACCTGTCTGGCATCAACTTACGTAATGAAATACCCAAAATAAAATTTCAAAACAACCAAAATTATATTCAATATTGGACATATAGTTGTTCATTATTATGTTATTATTTCTCTTCATCTCGTCTCAGAATGACACAATAAAAAGATGCAAAGAAAGCTCTATTGGTATAGAATTATCAGGATAATCGTTTAAGGTTGAACCAACGGGGTACCTGGCATGGATTGTATTTTATACATTTTACAATTCCTGGAGAAATTAAGTAAACAGTTTAATATCCTGTGATCAAAATATTGAAAAAAGAATGAACCCATTGATTATATAATGCAAAACGAGAGGAATAATTCGTGAATTGTTTGTGACTAACGCGCACCTGGCGAATCGTTAGGTATCACTGTTCTGTGTATCAAACGACATAAAAAAACCAATTCCAAGACAATTCTTTCAGAAATGTGTGCATATATTTTACCGAAAAAATATCATCCATTTTGTGAAAGTAATCTGTTTTAGTTATAAAATAAAATGAAACGGCTATTCATGCACATTGCTAATATGAACTTATAATATTGACTATTGCACATCCCAAGAAATTTGTACATGCTGCAGTTACATTTACACTTCATCTTATAACACTCCTCCAAAGGAAAGAAATATCGTATTCGACACTAAAAACCTATCAATTGTTATGTAAACAAGGTTCTAACAAACAGGAGATTATCAAAGTTTCGTTCATACATGTTGTGGCCTATATTTACGTATGATATCATTTTGAACATTGACAAATGTCCAAAGTGAAATTAATTGTGTGATAAAAATGTATTGTATAAAAGATATGCAAAATCTACATCATAACTGAAACTGTAAACAGCATGATACAATGATCGTGTGCACTCTCATTCAAGGACCTTCACCTCAAAGAAATTACCAAATATGTACAACAATGTTGACGTATGACATCACTATACCTGTGACCGACTTTTACAAAATGGCGTGTTCACTGTCAACAGTACGCGGGATTTTACGAGGGGACTTTCGTTGATTCAGGGATCGTATATACATAAATGTGACATGTAAGTAATCATACACATTCTGACAATCTATGTACTGTTATTTGTTGTTATAATTTTCATTGAACCAAACCGAAATAGTCAGAAATTCCGATAAATACCGTTGTTGTTGTGTGTGATTTTGCATCAGTCATGGTGTCACACAGGACGGTAACTTTGCAATGATTTGATATTTTCAACAGAAATTGTCAATGTATCTATTTTAAATTCCATAATTCTTCCTACGATTCTCTTCCCATGCATATTCTGAAAATGTTGAGCCAATATATTGAACGAATAGACGAATGGATAGCTCAAAATAGGAGAAAATGCTACACTGTGTAAAATCTGTATTTTGCTTTGTTTACATTTCAAACAAGTGCAGTTTTTCGAGCACAGCGTTCGTTTTCACACCTTACTTATTTTGCTTGATTTCATCCAGCCACTTTGTATTGGTGACAAAGACCATTTTTCATTCGATTCTAAAATGTGTGAGGAATTCAAGGATGTGTGTATCGTAGCTAAGTTTGAAATATACGTGATGTTACAGGCACCTCGTAACCGGTGTACCTGAAACGTGATTTTGTAAACACTTTCAAAAATGGCGGAAAGTTCACTTCGGCGTTCGTTTTTGCGTATTTTCCAAAACATTCTGAACGATTATAGGGTTATCGGAGCCGTTTTGGAATGATCATTGGTGATTTCATAAAGGACAGATACCCGTGATCACTAATGTGCTATTTTTGAAATTCATTTCTTGGAGTAAATATCGGAAATTTAGATTTCAAAACATGCTGTAAATAACGCGGTGAGTGGTGATTTAGTAATGTGTACAAAATGGTGACATTTACGAAGTACCTAATTTTCAGAGGTCATTTTTAGTACTTTTGCTTGGCCTAAAATGTCAGTGGATGATATCACAGAACAGGGAATCTCCCAGCTTATTCAAAACTGTGAAGTGTATTAGTGTGCATGATGTACTTTCAATTTTATTCCACTTCAAAGTGAGGGTTGTAGAGGAAGGACATATATGTCCCTGTGGCATCCAGGGGGTTAAATTGAAAAAAGAACAAAAAGAAAAAATCTGTTAATAGCAAAGGCACAACTACATACCTGCTTGATAGTTGTAAAAACTTTTGAGAAGCTAAGTTGTATGGTTCGGGAGATATGGTCTGGACAAGAGCACTACCCTGAAATTTCCTAAGTTCATCATATTTTGATGGAAACGACAAAAATATAAAATTCTAAAAATCTCTAAATAGCAAAAGGCACTTCTACTGAGCCTGATTGTTAAGTGTACCAAGTTTTGGGAAGCTAGGTTGTACGGTTTTGGAAATATGCTCCGGACAAGAGCACTACCCTGAAATTTCCTAAGTTCATCATATTTCCATGGAAACGACAAAAATATAAAATTCTAAAAATCTCTAAATAGCAAAAGGCACTACTACTGAGCCTGATTGGTAAGTGTACCAAGTTTTGGGAAGCTAGGTTGTACGGTTTAGGAAATCTGCTCCGGACAAACAATGATTACAGACGGACGGACAGACAGACAGACATACTGATGGCTATATCCCCCCGTCATTATATGTCGGGGGGATAAAAACTGTTAAATACTTTCTTACAAAACTTTGCATGTCTACCAGGCACATACTGAACTGGTGCCTTTTGCTATTTAGGAATTTTATAAATTTTTATTTTTTATGTTATCCAACAAGTTGGATTTAAGTTTTCATATAGGGTGGGTTCACTTATGGAGTATAACAAATAATCTGTTAAATATTTCTTTGCCAAACATTGCATGTCTATATATAAAGTACATACTGAACTGGTGCAATTTGATATTAAGGAGTTTTATAAATGTTTATTTTAGAATTTCCATTGCAGCTATTTTGACATGGGCTAAGAAAAATGTTGGGTCAGTTACCTGGTTTGGGACCATAACGTGTTAAAATGGGTGGGGGATATAGATGACTTTGTTGACTATATGCTTGTTTAGTTATTGTTTCTTGTAATTTGTCATTTGTTTGCATAAAAAAAACCCCACAGAAACACACATGTTTTACTTTCCATTTCTTATGGATGCGACCATGGTGGATCTTTTGTTGGTAAACAATGTATGCTTCTTAAAGAACATTCAACTCTTGACTCATTACATACAGAATTGCACATTTTATTTGTGTTACAGACAGCTGCCGGGGGGATATGTCATCTTTCTGATGACTCTTGTTACCTTCACATTTTGCCTTCATGTTCTGCTGTCAGAGGATATACATGCAGTGACGATTTCTGTTTATTGGAAACTTCTGTTACTTTTTGGCATATTCTTATTAACCTTGTAAAGCCTTCATAATCAGCCATAATATAATATTCCAGAACAGTTCAGATGAGCTGGAGAGCCTTGTTCCTTTTTTTTTATGGACATATTACTGGTGTCCATTTGATGTGATGTGAACACTGTGAATCCTAATTGCAACGATTGTCTCCAGATCATGGTCAAGAGCATCCTCAAGCAGAAGTCATTCCGAAATCCCTTCTTACGCGAGAAAGAGAACAGACTCAAGAATGATCTCAACAAAACAGGACGCTCCAACTCTGCCCCTGAAACCTTCGCACATATCATGAAAAGGTAGGCAACAATGTAGTTTGTTGTTGATACCAGTGTGTGGCTACCTATCATATCATAGTGCGCTACCATCCCAGCTACACCATACAGTGTCCTCCTGTCCTAGCTACACCATACAGTGTCCTCCTGTCCCAGCTACACCATACAATGTCCACCTGCCCCAGCTACAGCATACAGTGTCCTACTGTCCCACTTACACCATACCGTGTCCTACTGTCCCAGCTGCACCATACAGTGTCCTACTGTCCCACTTACACCATACCGTGTCCTACTGTCCCAGCTGCACCATACAGTGTCCTACTGTCCTACTAACACCATACCGTTTCCTACTGTCCTACTGTCCTACTAACACCATACCGTGTCCTACTGTCCTACTTACACCATACCGTGTCCTACTGTCCTACTGTCCTACTTACACCATACCGTGTCCTACTGTCCTACTTACACCATACCGTGTCCTACTGTCCCACTTACACCATACCGTGTCCTACTGTCCTACTTACACCATACCGTGTCCTACTGTCCTACTGTCCTACTAACACCATACCGTGTCCTACTGTCCTCCTTACACCATACCGTGTCCTACTGTCCTACTTACACCATACCGTGTCCTACTGTCCTACTGTCCTACTAACACCATACCGTGTCCAACTGTCCTACTTACACCATACCGTGTCCTACTGTCCTACTTACACCATACCGTGTCCTACTGTCCTACTGTCCTACTTACACCATACCGTGTCCTACTGTCCCACTTACACCATACCGTGTCCTACTGTCCTACTTACACCATACCGTGTCCTACTGTCCTACTTACACCATACCGTGTCCTACTGTCCTACTTACACCATACCATGTCCTACTGTCCTACTTACACCATACCGTTTCCTACTGTCCTACTGTCCTACTAACACCATACCGTGTCCTACTGTCCTACTTACACCATACCGTGTCCTACTGTCCTACTTACACCATACCGTGTCCTACTGTCCTACTGTCCTACTAACACCATACCGTGTCCTACTGTCCTACTAACACCATACCGTGTCCTACTGTCCTACTAACACCATACCGTGTCCTACTGTCCTACTTACACCATACCGTGTCCTACTGTCCTACTAACACCATACCGTGTCCTACTGTCCTACTTACACCATACCGTGTCCTACTGTCCTACTGTCCTACTAACACCATACCGTGTCCTACTGTCCTACTTACACCATACCGTGTCCTACTGTCCTACTTACACCATACCATGTCCTACTGTCCTACTGTCCTACTTACACCATACCGTGTCCTACTGTCCTACTTACACCATACCGTGTCCTACTGTCCCACTTACACCATACCGTGTCCTACTGTCCTACTTACACCATACCGTGTCCAACTGTCCTACTGTCCTACTAACACCATACCGTGTCCTACTGTCCTACTTACACCATACCGTGTCCTACTGTCCTACTAACACCATACCGTGTCCTACTGTCATACTTACACCATACTGTGTCCTACTGTCCTACTGTCCCACTTACACCATACCGTGTCCTACTGTCCTACTTACACCATACCGTGTCCTACTGTCCTACTGTCCTACTTACACCATACCGTGTCCTACTGTCCTACTGTCCTACTGTCCTACTTACACCATACCGTGTCCTACTGTCCTACTGTCCTACTTACACCATACCGTGTCCTACTGTCCTACTGTCCTACTGTCCTACTTACACCATACCGTGTCCTACTGTCCTACTTACACCATACTGTGTCCTACTGTCCTACTGTCCTACTAACACCATACCGTGTCCTACTGTCCTCCTTACACCATACCGTGTCCTACTGTCCCACTTACACCATACCGTGTCCTACTGTCCTACTGTCCTACTGTCCTACTTACACCATACCGTGTCCTACTGTCCTACTTACACCATACTGTGTCCTACTGTCCTACTGTCCTACTAACACCATACCGTGTCCTACTGTCCTCCTTACACCATACCGTGTCCTACTGTCCTACTAACACCATACTGTGTCCTACTGTCCTACTGTCCCACTTACACCATACTGTGTCCTACTGTCCTACTGTCCCACTTACACCATACCGTGTCCTACTGTCCTACTGTCCTACTTACACCATACCGTGTCCTACTGTCCTACTGTCCTACTTACACCATACCGTGTCCTACTGTCCTACTGTCCTACTTACCTCATACTGTGTCCTACTGTCCCACTTACACCATACCGTGTCCTACTGTCCTACTGTCCTACTTACACCATACCGTGTCCTACTGTCCTACTGTCCTACTTACACCATACCGTGTCCTACTGTCCCACTTACACCATACCGTGTCCTACTGTCCCACTTACACCATACCGTGTCCTACTGTCCCACTTACACCATACTGTGTCCTACTGTCCTACTGTCCTACTTACACCATACTGTGTCCTACTGTCCTACTGTCCTATTTACACCATACCGTGTCCTACTGTCCCACTTACACCATACCGTGTCCTACTGTCCTACTGTCCTACTTACATCACACTGTGTCCTACTGTCCCACTTACACCATACTGTGTCCTACTGTCCTACTGTCCTATTTACACCATACCGTGTCCTACTGTCCCACTTACACCATACTGTGTCCTACTGTCCTACTGTCCTATTTACACCATACCGTGTCCTACTGTCCCACTTACACCATACCGTGTCCTACTGTCCTACTGTCCTACTTACACCATACCGTGTCCTACTGTCCTACTGTCCTACTTACACCATACCGTGTCCTACTGTCCCACTTACACCATACCGTGTCCTACTGTCCCACTTACACCATACTGTGTCCTACTGTCCTACTGTCCTACTTACACCATACTGTGTCCTACTGTCCTACTGTCCTATTTACACCATACCGTGTCCTACTGTCCCACTTACACCATACTGTGTCCTACTGTCCTACTGTCCTACTTACACCATACTGTGTCCTACTGTCCTACTGTCCTATTTACACCATACCGTGTCCTACTGTCCTATTTACACCATACCGTGTCCTACTGTCCCACTTACACCATACTGTGTCCTACTGTCCTACTGTCCTATTTACACCATACCGTGTCCTACTGTCCCACTTACACCATACTGTGTCCTACTGTCCTACTGTCCTATTTACACCATACTGTGTCCTACTGTCCCACTTACACCATACCGTGTCCTACTGTCCTACTTACACCATACCGATTCCTACTGTCCTACTGTCCTACTAACACCATACCGTGTCCTACTGTCCCACTTACACCATACCGTGTCCTACTGTCCCACTTACACCATACTGTGTCCTACTGTCCTACTTACACCATACCGTGTCCTACTGTCTCACTTACACCATACCGTGTCCTACTGTCCTACTGTCCTATTTACACCATACCGTGTCCTACTGTCCTACTGTCCTAGCTACACCATACCGTGTCCTACTGCCCTACTTACACCATACCGTGTCCTACTGTCCCACTTACACCATACCATGTCCTACTGTCCCACTTACACCATACAGTGTCCTACTGTCCCACTTACACCATACCGTGTCCTACTGTCCCACTTACACCATACTGTGTCCTACTGTCCTACTGTCCTATTTACACCATACCGTGTCCTACTGTCCCACTTACACCATACCGTGTCCTACTGTCCTACTGTCCTACTTACACCATACCGTGTCCTACTGTCCTACTGTCCTACTTACACCATACCGTGTCCTACTGTCCCACTTACACCATACCGTGTCCTACTGTCCCACTTACACCATACTGTGTCCTACTGTCCTACTGTCCTACTTACACCATACTGTGTCCTACTGTCCTACTGTCCTATTTACACCATACCGTGTCCTACTGTCCCACTTACACCATACTGTGTCCTACTGTCCTACTGTCCTATTTACACCATACCGTGTCCTACTGTCCCACTTACACCATACTGTGTCCTACTGTCCTACTGTCCTATTTACACCATACCGTGTCCTACTGTCCTATTTACACCATACCGTGTCCTACTGTCCCACTTACACCATACCGTGTCCTACTGTCCCACTTACACCATACTGTGTCCTACTGTCCTACTGTCCTACTTACACCATACTGTGTCCTACTGTCCTACTGTCCTATTTACACCATACCGTGTCCTACTGTCCTATTTACACCATACCGTGTCCTACTGTCCCACTTACACCATACTGTGTCCTACTGTCCTACTGTCCTATTTACACCATACTGTGTCCTACTGTCCCACTTACACCATACCGTGTCCTACTGTCCTACTTACACCATACCATGTCCTACTGTCCTACTTACACCATACTGTGTCCTACTGTCCCACTTACACCATACTGTGTCCTACTGTCCCACTTACACCATACCGTGTCCTACTGTCCTACTGTCCTACTTACACCATACCGATTCCTACTGTCCTACTGTCCTACTAACACCATACCGTGTCCTACTGTCCCACTTACACCATACCGTGTCCTACTGTCCCACTTACACCATACTGTGTCCTACTGTCCTACTTACACCATACCGTGTCCTACTGTCTCACTTACACCATACCGTGTCCTACTGTCCTACTGTCCTATTTACACCATACCGTGTCCTACTGTCCTACTGTCCTAGCTACACCATACCGTGTCCTACTGCCCTACTTACACCATACCGTGTCCTACTGTCCCACTTACACCATACCATGTCCTACTGTCCCACTTACACCATACAGTGTCCTACTGTCCCACTTACACCATACAGTGTCCTACTGTCCTACTTACACCATACCGTGTCCTACTGTCCTACTTACACCATACCGTGTCCTACTGTCCCACTTACACCATACCGTGTCCTACTGTCCCACTTACACCATACAGTGTCCTACTGTCCCACTTACACCATACCGTGTCCTACTGTCCCACTTACACCATACCATGTCCTACTGTCCCACTTACACCATACAGTGTCCTACTGTC